AAAATTCAGGAGGTTGAGGGAAGAGGGGTGGTTTGTGTAGGTGTTTCAAACTCAGTGCCATTGTCTGATCTAAGAATTTTGATTTTCTTTCCAAACTGAGTAAAAACCATATTATAAAAGTGTAAAAGACTTTTCTTAGTATCAGACTTGTAAACAAGAGGATAAACCCATGTGACTCGACTATGATCATCAACAATGGTTAAGAAATATTTATATCCAACATGAGAAGAAACAGAGAATGGACCCCATAAATCACAATGGATTAAGTCAAAAGTAGAAGCAGCAGTAGATGTACTAACAGGGAAACTCAGTTTTCTTTGTTTAGAGAAATGACATACATCACAAGGATAGTGAACTGCATTATAAGGAGTAGAAGTAATGGAAAGCATGTTCAATTTAGAAAAGGAAAGGTGACCAAGTCTATTATGCCATGTAATGTGAGTTACAGTGCTTGAAGAGTATGCATTTACAGGTAAAGGAAATGTTACAGGTAAATTTTGTGCATACAAAGAAGATTTATCAAGACACATATGATAGAGGCCATCTTTCAAATCAGCAGAACCAATCATTTTCTTGCTTTTCTGATCCTGTAATATGCAACATGATGATACAAATTGGAGCATGCAGTTGCTAGTGGATACTTGTTTGGATACAGAAACAAGATTGAATTGAAAGGTAGGCACATATAGCACATTATGAAGAACTAAAGACTCAGTCAATTGAACAGTTCCAGTTAAGCATGCAACAGTGTTTTGACCATTAGGCAAATGAATGGATGTAGAGACAGGTGTAGGTGTATTTGAGAAATATGATGCATCACAAATCATATGATCTGTGGCACCTGTGTCTAATATCCATGTATTTTTAGAAGTAGTCAAAGCCATGCAGAAGTGGGAATTAGACAAACCTGGAAGCTCTTGAATAGCAGTTGCAACCATAGCAGGAGTAGAACCAGCTATAGGTTGAGCTCCCTGTGATCTCTTAAAAGCCAGAAACTCATGAAGTAAATCATTAGTAAAAGAGACAGAGTTATCAGTGAGACTTGGTTGAGATTCAGGGGCTTGGACCCTTAGGACCAACCCAGTTTTCAGGATAACCAATAACTTGGAAGCATTTTTCAGATGGATGGCCATAACCACAATGTGTGAAGCGAGGTCTTTTCTTTGGGTGAGGAGGTTTGGTAGATTTAAAAGGAGGTTGTGATGTTTTAGCAACCATGGCTAAGGTCTCTGAAGGAATTGATGTATTGTGGAGAGTTCTTTGTGTTTCTTCTTGGAGAAGGATAGAGTATATTTTGGATAAGGATGGTAATGGAGTGGACAGAAGGAAATGGCTACGGAGGGCAGAATATGAATCATGTAGGCCAACAAGAAATTTCATGACAGAGTCTTGTTGTTGACAGTTAGCCATTGTCTCAAAGACGTTACAGGTACAGGACACAAAAGCACCACAATTACATTTGATTACAGGGCGAAAAGTAACATATTCATCCCGGAGAGCCTTAAACATGTTGTAGTATTGAGTAATGGACAGTGAACCTTGATCTATAGTACTCAAAGATTTTTCAAGTTGAAAAACTCTAGGTCCACTGCTCATTGCATATCGAGTTTTAATCTCATCCCAAACTTCTTTAGCCGATGTGAAAAACAACAGAGAGTGTCGAATTTCTTTAGAAATTGAGTTTAATATCCATGATAGCACCAAGTTATTTGCACGTACCCAGGAAACATAGAGAACAGATGTGTTACCAGTCGGAGATGGTGCCGGTAACGTGCCATCAATAAAACCACTCTTGTTTTTCACACTAAGCGCCATTTGGACTGCGCGAGACCAAGAGACGAAGTTGTCGCCATTGAAGAGCTCGGCTACAATTAGCGCCCCTGGGTTGTCACTGGCGTGGAGATAGTAAGGAGACGTTGGATCATCAGTAGGATTGACAGCAGCCATAACAAATCAGATCGTAGATGTAGATCGCAGATTCAGATCGCAGATGTAGATTGCAGATTCAGATCGTAGATGTGAATCTCAGAGATATGTCAAAGTCGAACATATCAAAGCCGAAATCGAACAGATCGAAGTGAAGATCGTGTCGATTGGAAAAAAAAAAAAGAGGAATCGCCGCAAAGGTGGAGGCGAAAGAGAAGAAAAAAAATATAGGGAATCGTCTCAGAGGTGGAGACGAACCATATGTGTGCGGAAGAACTCAAAGATCACGGCGAACGCCGGCGGCTGATACCATGTTAGATTAGGGAATGATTGATAGATAGAGAAGAAGAGTTGCAGAGAGAAAGGAGAAAAGGAAAATAGTCTGCGGTTGAATTGAACAAAATGAGAATGAAAGTTGTTAGGGTTTACACTTGGTCTCAGGTATTTATACCTTATTCAGATAAAATGCTATTTACAAATCTAATAGGAATAATACAAGAGTTGCTATATCAAATGACAACTATTAAATATATATTAATAATCTTGTAGTCTACTAAAAATATAGAGAGAAAATAATTTAATTTACTTCTCAGAACTGAAATCGAACTTAAATTCCGACTACAATCGAAAACCGAAAAAATCAAAAATTCTAAAAAATTCATATTTCTCTCTGATAATTTAAATAGACTAAAATGTCTAAATAAATTATTGAAAAAATTACACTTTACCTACCGAACTATTCGCATTTTTACACTTTGCCCACCAATCTTTTTCCGGCGACACTTTAACCCTTGAACTTTAGGATTTGTTACACTTTCCGACTTCCGACCATCGGACTCGCAAAATGAAGGGCAAAGTCGACCTTTCAGGTACTAAATTACTTTGAAATAGGAGAACGTAGAATTGAAATCATTCATAACCCTAATTTTACCCTAAAAAGCACGATCACTTCAAAAAATCGAACGAAAAGAGCAAAATTTTCAAATTGGAGCTGCATTTTTTCGCCTTTTCAAGCAATGGTTTGGAAATTACGCGAGAAGAATGATATGGATCCCCCAGAGTATGGTAAGCCTTTTGTGTTTTTTCAATTTGAAGTTCTCTGTCAGTTTCGATTGCTTATTGTTTTGTTTATGATCTTGTGTTGGACTGGGGTTGGGGATTTAAGTGTTTACACCATTTTTCGTTTGTCTTGCAGGTGAAAATGATGAATATTTCACTATTAGGATTTACCATGGCGGCCAATTTGTGGATTTTGGCTGCAAAATGCATTTGAACGGTGGAGTCTCACATGTTGATTTTTGCCATCCCGATGAAAGGTCACTGATCGAGGTAATGAGCTTGATAGGTGAATTAGGGTTGAATTCAATTAAAGGTGTATATTGCAGTAGGGGTGGAGTTAATGACTGCAATGACTTAATCTTGTTGGAAAATGATAATGATGTCATGCAAATGTGTTTCATGAAGGATGTAGATAGAATAGTTGCTTTGTATGTGGATCATGAAACTAAACTTCCTGCAGTTCTGAAGGTTTGGATTTTATAGGTGATAATGATCAATACTTGATGAATGAAAACCCTTCTGCTGTGGGTATGAATGAACTTGATAATAGTTTGAATAGTGATTCTGATGATGATGAGCAATCTTTGGGGACAGATTCTGAGTTATTTGAGATTTTGATAGATAGTGAAGGTGAAACATCTGATGTAGAGAATGATGATCAATTTTTTGATGATAATATGGATTTTGATGTGGAGTTTGGGGGATTAGGGACTGAGACATCTCACAGTCAGGCAAACAATGGAACAATGAGGACAAAATGTAGTAAAGGTCACAAGGGTCATGTAGTTTTCAATGGGAGGACAAATATGAGTGAACCTAAATTTGAAATAGGAATGTTTTTCCCTGATATGGCTCAGTTTAGGAAAGCAGTGAGGCAGAGTGCAATAAAGAATGGCAGAGATGTAACTTTTAGTATTAATGAGAAAACCAAGGTCCAAGTAAAATGTAAGCACAATAATTGTCCATGGCTCATTTATGCAGCACTTTTGTCAAGTGAGGACAGTGTGCAGGTTAGAAAGTATAACCCTACACACAAGTGCCCTAGGAGTCAAAGAGTATCTCATGCCAACTCTAGGTGGTTAGCTGAAACTTATAAGAAAAAAATATGGTCTGACCCTACTTGGCCTGTTCATTCTATAATGAAAATCATGCAAGGTGAAAACAAGCTTGTTTTCAACAATAGCCAACTCTATAGGGCTAAGAAAAAGGTGTTAGCATCTGGGTCTGATGGCCATCATGAACAATTTGGTTTGTTGTGGTCTTATGCTGCTGAAATCAGAGACAAAAATCCAGGCACTACAATTAAAATCAAATGTAAATTGCTTGGGGAACAAACCTCTTTTAAGAGGTTATACATTTGTTGGGGGGCTTTAAGGGATGGATTGTTAGATGGGTGTAAACCAGTGTTGTTTCTAGATGGATGTCACTTAAAGACTTCAATTGGGGGAGTCTTGTTGACTGCTGTGGGCATAGATGGAAACAATGGCATGTATCCAGTGGCATATGCAGTGGTTGAAAAGGAGAAATAAAAAATCTTGGGGCTGGTTTTTAGAGTTGTTGATTGAGGATTTGAAAATAACTAACCCATACCATTGGACCTTTATATCAGACAAGCAAAAGGGTTTGGTAGAGTCCATTGACACTCTCTTACCTGGGGCTGAGCATAGGTTTTGTTTTTAACATCTCTATGCTAACTTTAAAGCCTCACATAAGGGTTTGGCTCTTAAGAGCTTGTTGTGGAAAGCTGCAAGAGCCACAAGAGTTCAGGATTTTCAAAAGGCTATGATTGAGCTGAAACAGAGAGATGTAGCTGCATTTGACTGGTTAAATGCTAGACCACCTGCAAATTGGTCTAGGTCTCATTTCAGCACACATTCAAAATTTGATGTGTTGCTCAATAATCTCCCTGAAAGGTTTAATGCTTCTATTGTGAGGGCTAGAGCTCAGCCAATAGTCAAGATGTTGGAGATGATAAGCTGTCTCTAATGAAGAGAATTCATTCAAAGAGGGATCAAATGAGAAAGCACCATGGGCAACTGTGTCCAAGAATTGAGAAAACGCTTGAAGATTTCAAAAAGAAGAGCATGGAGTTTGTTTGCTATTGGAATGGGGAAGATCAGTTTGAGGTTGAGGGCAGCTCAGGTACAAAGTTCAGGGTGCACATTGGGGAAAAAACTTTCTCCTACAGAAAGTGGGAGCTTAGTGGAATTTCTTGTGCACATGCTATATCAGGAATGTACTACTTGGATCATAACCCAGAGGATTATGTGGATGATGCATACAAAAATGAAACATATCTGAGGGTGTATAGCCACTTAATGGGAACTATAGGTGGATCTGATGAGTGGCCAGAGGTGGAAAACCTACCATTGATCCCACCGGTTGTTGGAAACCTACCTGAGAGGCCCAAAAAGTATAATAGAAGAAAAGGCCAAGATGAAGCAAAAGGAAAAAAGAAAGTGGTAGAAATTGCTACTGGTTTGAAACTGACCAAAAGAGAAGTTGTCATGAAGTGCTCAATCTGCAAGCAACCAAATCACAATTCAAGGGGCTGCCATAAAAACCCACAAAGTAGACCCACCAACCAAGGTCTGGATATGCCAGCAGCTACTACCAATGGAAAGGTAATTACTTTATGTTAACTCACTTTGTGTTCTGATTACTATTATGTGTATGATATATTTTTTTGTTTGCTTTGTCATTAGGAAAAGGAATCTCAGACAAATAAACAATCTCAGACTGAGCCCATTAGTGGAAAAGGAAAGGTACATCAACTGATATGTTTTTTCTTGCTCAATTTGCAAGCAACAAAATCACAATTCAAGGACATGCTTTGTTTTCTTGTTTTTCAGAGAAACAAAAGAGGTTTTTGAAGGTACATCAACAGGTTTTGAAGGTGCACCTAATGTTAAAAGGAACGTACATATTATATCAATCAATTGTTTTACTCTTGTGAGTTTTTATGTGGCTTCTGATTATGGGAGTTTGTCACTAATGTTTTTGTTGTTTTGAAGAAGAATAAGGAAAAAGGTCTTGAAGGTACAAGTAGTACTGTAAATGTGGTTGTCACTAATGCTACATCAAGTGCACCTAATGGAGAAGGAAAGGTACAATGTGTAGTCCATCATCTAAATAAAAAATTGTTTTTAGTTGCCTAACTGTTTTTCTTATTTTTTGTTTGTCAAAGTGCATCATCTAAATCAAAACTGAACATTTTCACTCAAGAGAAAAGAATGACAAAAAGTAGCACTTGTGGAAAACCAAAGGCCTTTACTCCGCCAATAGGTCAAAACCTAAGAAGCAGCAGAAATAATGTGAGATTCTCCACAACCAAGCCACCTGTGACCTCAAGCCAGACTAGTGCAAATCAAGTACCACCTAAAGAACCTCCACCAAAAAGAGTGACCAGAAGTAGTACCTTCTCCCCCAAAAAGAGCCAACAGAAGTAGCATGCCCCAGAATTGGTGTACTTTGTTGGTGTTATTTTCTAAACTTTGTGTCAGTGGTGTTACTTGAAAACTTTGTTGGTGTACTTTTGATACAATTGTGGTGATTGTTCTCAGTATACAATGTTGGTGATTGTTATGATGACATTATGGTGTACTTTTGATCTTTGGTTTTGATACAATGACATTTGTGATTTTCTTCAGATTTCATTATTAATGGCACTTTGGATAATGGCATTTGTGTTTGCAGTTTTATTTGATATAGTTCAAGCAACTTTGTGTAGGTTTTGGATAGTTAGACAAAATTGAAGCAGATTAATGTGTTGTGTTGTGAACATGTTCTATCACATTAAAACAAACAAATTGAACCAAATTCATTAATGACAGATTAATGACAGATCAGTGAACCAAGTTCATTACACATACACAAAGTTTACACAATATTTGAACAGGTTAAAACACTACACAAACCGAGTTCAAACAAATCAAGATCAATCATTGCATACACATATGTAAAGTAAGTTTTTAAGGGATCCAAGCACATTCCATACAAATTGAACAGAACAGGTCTTACAAAAGCCTTACAATACCAAAATCCCACATTCATTACACAAACCATTTGAATCACAAACCACATTACACAAAACATTTGAATAAGTCTTACACAAACCACTTCATACTTCACTTCAGAACTTAGCCACACCACAATCACTCCACCCAAAACAAAGATAACAAAACAAGTCTAACACCATAGCAACTTAGCCTGCCTACTTCTTAAGAAGAAAAAACATCATGATCCATGAAATAACAATTAAACACCACAGCCACTTCACCCATTTTTTTCTTGCTTGCCAATTCAGCTTCTGCCAGATTAATGCGTCTCAAAAGTCGAGGGATAATTTGTCGAGCTCTTGTACACATTGGAGGGTTGATCCACACAAAATGTTTGCAATCACTCTTGAAAAAATCAAGAACAAATATCAAGTCAATGTAAAATAAAAACAAGAAATCAAGAACATTCCAACCATTCTCAAAACGTTTGCCACTGAATTTCGAAAAAAAAAAATTCGTAGCCCTTTGCAACCACTCTTGAACAAATCAAGTCAATATAATAACAAATTAAGAACAAATATCAAGTCAATGTAAAATAAAAACAAATCAAGAATAATCCAACCATTCTCAAAATGTTTGCCACTGAATTTCAAAAAAAAAAAATTCGTACCCCTTTGTACGTCGCGTATCGCCTTCCAGGGTTGTTGTCCGTCCTCGACGTCACCATCACCGTCCTCTTTCCACAAGTGCAATACTCATCCAAGGTCACCTCCGACATCTGCCTCCACATTTTCTTCTCTTTTTCTTTGCCCTAGAATTCTGATTTTGGGATTCAGGGATTGATCTTCATAAAATCTGATTTGGGTATTTTATAGAGAGGGTCGATTGTTTATATCTGTAAAAGGACAACCTTGTACAAAATTAGTACCTGAAAGGTCGACTTTGCCCTTCATTTTGCGAGTCCGATGGCCGGAAGTCAGAAAGTGTAACAAATCCTGAAGTTCAAGGGTTAAAGTGTCGCCGGAAAAAGATTGGTGGGCAAAGTGTAAAAATGCGAATAGTTCGGTAGGTAAAGTGTAATTTTCCCTAAATTATTTTACTCAAATGATTAATTTAGACACTCATGTCAAATTAATCATAGAACTTGTCAAACAACTCGAAATTATTAATCCCTACTAATAAAGTCCATTTCTAAAAATAAACGGACCGTAATTAATTAATGAACTGGCTCGATTACTAAATAAAATTTAACCGAGAATACTTTCGACTTAAAGTCGAACTTATAACTGAATAACTGGCTCGGAACTAGGAACAAACATTATTCATAAAAGTAAATAGTTCACACTCGGAACTAAAATAATTACTTTTATTAATAACTGAATGGGATATTATAATCTACCCCCCTTAAAATTATTTCCGTCCTCGGAAATACTGAAACTGGGATACATACAACTGAGTACATATCAGAACAAAATCTGGAAAACGAGTCTTAATATCAGCTTTTTGCTCTCAAGTGGCATCTAACTTTTCGTGTCGATTCCATCTGATACTAACGAGGAAAATATCTCGATTTTTGAGCCGATGAACCTTTCAGTCCAAAACTGCTACCTGCTATTACTCGTAAGTTAAATCTGGCTAAAACTGAAGCTTATTGTGCTGAAGCACATACTTGGATCGCTCACATACTCACGTAACATCGATACTTGAAACACATTATGCACACTGGACACATCTATTGTCCCAAAAGCAAGCTTTTGATCTTTCTGATCATCCTTCTCTACTGTCATCAGTAGTATTGATGATTTGATGGAAATGCCAAGAACTTTCGGCTCGACCTGCTATGACTCGGGACCTGACAATGCGGCACATTGCATGTGATTTACTCACTACCATGGTCGCTTGCAGTCACTAACACGGTCGCATCCTCATTTTATGCTAGTAGTTTCGCTGTACTCAACTTGTTTCTATAAGCCAAAATTTCACACTTGAAGGACTTGGCATAAAGTTTCTCCTTCTCGTTCTAGAATTTGTAATGGACTTATATAACGAGGATGTAACTTTCATTTCTTCCCGAAACGAACAACACTTCGCATCTTCGAACCTTCAGGAATACTTTATCTCCTATTTCAAACTGCATCTCTCGTCTATGCTTATCGGTTAAGACTTTTGCCAACTCTGAGCAGTCTTAAGTTTTTCTCATTCTTGAGAAGGACTGATTATCAACTGATTAATCTCAAAATCTCCTACTATAATGTCAACACAATAGACTAGTCAACTGCCTTGACTAAAGTAAAAAAGACTGAATAACTAAGTCGCAGTTACTTCTCTAGTGCAACTTACTTTATCGATTTGATTTGTTCTGTCTGATTATATCCTTGATATAATCCATAATTACTACCTCTCTGACTACCAATTATGCAACTGTCACTATGACAATCGGTAAACATCGCAATAATTCAGGTGCTGTCGTTATTATCGACATCTCACATCTGCTTTCGTCTTCATTAAATGCACTCTGATTGCAGATTATGACACTCGATATATTTTAATGCACTATCTTATCTCATACTCGCAACTCTTCTATAAACAGACTCGATAATCCTTCAATCTTCGTCATCAATGGTCCGAACTTACAAATGGATCTAGTGTAACGCCCCACTTTATTTTAAAAGATTTATCGAATTTATTTAATAAAAATCATAGTTAATTTTTCGCAAATATCAAATTAACTTTTAAAACTCAATGGGCGCTACTTAACTACCAAGAACTATTAACCAAAATTACAAACACATCAGATAAAATCGGTACATGCATGATTACTAGATATAAAACTTCACTTGCAATCAATAAGTTCCAAAAACATAATCCAAGATTCCAAAACGACGTATTAAAAAATATCCCAAATCATGCAGGAAAGAAGATCCCAAGTCAACATAAGTTCATAAAAGCGGAAGCAATAATAATCATAAGTAAAAATAAACCAGACCACCAGTCGTCTTGCCTCGTCACCCGCCAACTGCTTACCGTGCATCCGTGAAGAGCATGTGGGAGTGAGTACAGTTGGAAAAATATTATAGTCACACTATGCATATGAACAAACTGAGAATATGTTAAGATAGTATGGTCGCAACATGAACATAAACAATAAACATCATATCTCATCTCCAGTCACATCAATAACTCTAGTCTCATCAAAGACTCACTCATGTGCACATCTACGCTCAGCCATGCCATATCAATGAAAGGTGGGAGTGCGTGCCACATCAATTACACGGCCTTCTCATAGGTCTTAATGAGATTTACCTCGTAAGGGTAACCGTGTTTCATCTTATGGGGACAACCGTACCGATGGCCATCAAGCTCACATTGATAGGCTACATGCTCACATGCATACATAGATCATACCGGTTAAACATATTTAAACACACATATGCATAGATATTTTAGAATAACTAACCCACCTGGAAATCGAAGTAGAAAAAGCACACAATTCGATCGGTAGGTCGGTGAGGCTCGACTCCTCAAACACCTACATTTAAGCGAGATAATAATCAATAAATTATCTCACTACTCGGAATTAACATAAAAATCACATTTAATCAAAAATAATGATTAAATGATTTTATCGAATTTTTCGCGGACTTGGAACTCTCAAATTTTTTTAAAAATAGGACTCGGAGGACTAAATTGGAGTCTCGGGACTTTAAATAATTTTTCTCAAGTTTTTTGCATTTTGAAAATATTTTTAAAATTAAAATCAGTATTAAAAACGGGCTTCCGAACATAAAATTAGGCTAAAAATCGCATTGGGCCGTGCTGGGAATTAAAAACACAAGCTGCCCTAGAATTGGGCCTGGCCCGCGCGAATTTGGGCCGAAACAGGGCCTGGCCCAACGCCAAAGGAGCTGAAGGCACGCGGGCTGGGAGTGGGGGTTCGCGGGCTGGAGATGCTGAGACCACTCGGGCCTTGCGCTGGCTTATAGCGGGCCAAGCGGCCCGCACGTTTCTGCTCCAAAAATGCTGGGCGAAAATCAGTAAAAAGGGCTGCTGAGGGTGAGTTTCGAACCAAGGACCTCTCTCACGAAAATGGGCGTAGAACACCACTGCGCCGTCTGTCTGGTTGTTGTTTTTGTTTTTTTTTAAATAAAGTTATGAGCTAACAAAGACAAAGGCCTGGGAGAGTTGAACAGAAAGAAAACGAACAGGACAGAAGCAGAAACACTGTTCGGCTAAGAAAATCATTCCGACGGCTGATTTTCAACAGCGATGTCGCACGGGTTTCAAGCATTAACGAAAACAACAATTTCCCCTGAGATCGAAATTTTATAAAAATCGGAAATTTCCAAAAAACGGAAAGACTACACATCGAAAGAAAATTCATATACGAATAGTAATTCAACGACGACTCAGGTAATTTATATTGAGCCTCCAAATTACTCAATAATCACAGCAACAACTCGATTCTCGTTTTAAACAATAAGTGAGAGTTCCGATTATCCATGAATTTCACATATCATCGAACGAACAAGACGAACCAATACATAAACCGACAAATCAACAAATATCGATTTAACGAGCGAAAATCCAACCCAACCTATAAGAAACAATTCAAGGAGTACGAACGTGATCGAACAAGCAAACATGAGCACGAATATATCGAGAGGGTTCGCTGATTACCTTCCTTCGGGATCTTACGGGCTCGGTTGGAATGACGAGCGTACGAACGAAACTCGAAAGGTCGGGCTCGATGAACAGAACCAAAATAGCTGCTCGCGAACGGAGAACGGGGCTGACCTCGATGATGGCCGGCGACTGAGCTCGGGAAAAGGACGGCGACGGGCAGGTTTGCCGGATCAATTGGCGGACTTAGCTTCTGATCAGGGTCGGGGAACGAGGGCTCTCGATTCGGTTCACGGCTGAAGGTTGCCTGATCGAGGAGATGGACGCCGGGACACAGAGTCTCGCTGGAATAGTGGTGGTCGCCGGTGATGGAGATGCGAGAATTTCACCGGAAAGAATGACGGCGATAGTTTTTGGGGCTGCGCGATATGGGAAAGGAGAGAAGGTTTGAAAAATTCTGAGATGAGACCGATCAATCTTCTTGGCCATTAAGACACGACGTGAGCTTATGGAGGAGATTCTCACTGAAAAATCGCAACGCAATTTGAGCTGTTGAGATAAGGAGAAGACTCGGTCCATCACGTGGAGAAGAGAATAGAAAGGGTTGCCAATTCATTTCTAAAAATCAATTGGGCCGAATTTCTCAACATAACAGGGCCCAAGTTTTCAGCCAAGCGGGCTGAAAATTAAATACAACGGGATAACGAGGATTTCCGGTTCGCGATACTCAATTTATTTAATCCGATAATAGATGCGACGTTCAGAAAAATAAAATACGACGACCGAAAAAATTAAATAATTAATCCGGCACACATCAATATATATAATACACACATTAATTAATTAACAATAGTATTAGGCATTCAGACAATTAATAACAATTAATAATCTCAAATAATTCATAAACAAACGGGGCGCTACATCTAGAGTAGTAGCCCAGTTCTGTATTAATAAAAGTGACAATTTAGTTCCAAGTTTGAACTATTTCCTTTTATTAATATTGCGCGTTTATAGTTCCGAGCCCAGTTATTCAGCTATTCAATTTCAGTTATTAATTCCGGTCCATTTAGAACTGGACTTTATTCAGTGGAGATTAACTATTTCCAGTTGACGAATAATCAAAATCGAGTATGTTTCGATAAATCGTCCAAGTCGAGCCGTGCCCGGAACCGAGTTATTCGATCACGAGTCTTGCGCCTAGTTCGTGCCTAGCCAAGTCTCGAGCACTAGTAGTCCCGAGTCTTGATCAAGCTAGAGTCGCTTGTAGCCTTACTTAGAATTTTTCTAAGTATGAGTTGATCATCATCAAGCCCTAGCAGTAGCAAGTCCCTCGGCCAAGAGGAACCCGCACCGAGCTCGTGCATGGGTTCAAGCTCCCGCACCCACGTGCCGCGCGCCTCGCCATAGCGCGAGTGCCCAGCCGTGCCGAGAATGCTTAAGTCATGGCTAAGATGACATGGATTTTTCTAAGTGTGGTAAGCCACATATTTTAGCCTTAGAAGTGTTGTAATCCTCGGCCCAAGGGAATCAGCACATCCAGCCCACGCCTAGTGCCGCGCCCAGCTAGCCATGCCGTGCCCAAGGCCTTGCGCGAGCCCATCACGACCGAGTAATGATGGAGAATTATTCCAAGTTATTTTGGCCATCAATTCAGCCATCGTTCAGCCTTAGGATATATTGCATTCGGCCCAAGAGAAGCCATGCACTGAGCCCAAGCAAGACCGCTCGCCAGCCCAGCCAATGCGGCGCGCCAGGCCCTAGCGCCCAACCCAAGAGCGAGTCCATTTGGAGCCCTATGGTATAAGTTCAGCCCAACTCCTTCATGCCTAAGATATTGCGAGTATTTAGGAGGTTAATGGGAGTTTATTGAGCATGAGCAAGCCTTAATAAGGATTAAGGAAAGACAAACCACAATTAGCATGTAATAGGTGATGAGCAAGTGGATATTATATTCCAGAGTGTAAGGCCATTGTCTCCCACTTGCATAGTGCATGTCCAGAATTGTTCCCCACACCTTTTGCATGCCTCGGTCAGTCCAAGATGCTGCTGCCAGACCACCAAGACGTGCCCCAAGGTCAACACGTAGAGCCCATGCGCATGGACAAGAGAGATGTGCCACTATTGTTCCCCACTTGTGGCTTTGGTCAATCCGCCCATGACCAGCTATTTAAGCACCCATCTTCAGCTCTTGTTAGCTCTTAGACACTTAGAGATTTTGAGCTTAGTATTGAGAGCAACAAGAGAAAAACCGAGTGGGAGCAACCTTGCCAAGCCCCGCGCGCGCGCCTACACGGGGAGGAGAAGGACTCGTGTTCCACTTGTTCCAGCCATTTTCTCTTGTAACTTATCATCTTCCAAGAGTTCCTTGAATTTTTATAAGTCCATAGAGTGCATCATCTTCAGCCATTAGCCCCCTAAGTCGTGCCTAAGTTCCTAAGTCGCGCGAGAGACACGAGCCAAGGACCCTTAGCACAATTTTGAGTTTGGTGAAAGGTAAGCTGGTGATTTTCATTTTTC